AGGTCCCTGTGTGACCCCAGAGGTCCCTGTGGAGCCCCAAAGGTCTCCATCCAGCCCCAGAGGTCCCCATGCAGCCCCCCATGCAGTCCCCCTCCCTGGTGGAGGGTCAGGAGCTCTGCTCCAGCACTGGGACATTCATTTCTGCCCTGGGAGGGTCAGAGCCATCAGGGGAGGTTTCAATAACCTGCCAGCCCTGTGGCCATGGGAAACTCACCCCAGGGACAGTCAATCCCCCCTTGAATGAAATTCACACCACCCCAGGGATCATCAATCCCACCTGGAGTGAACTTTGCATTTCCTGCTGTTGGACATCTCCGAGAGAAAGGTTCAGCTCAAACCCCAGGGATGTGAGGGGCTCTCTCTGCCCCTTGCTCAGGTTCCTTTGGGGTCACCACCAGAGGTTTGGGGATTTTTCCCCTAAATATTGGTGCTTACACGCACAGCTACTGCCACTATGTTTTGGGGAGATCCTTGGAAGCTGTTCTTGCCCAAAGCTGCCTTGAAGACCTCCCCTGCTCTCTGCAACCCCACACGTGTGGGGCTGAGTCCCTCTGTGCCACCACCATCTGTGACACCTCCACTTCGCCTTGCCTGTCCCCTTCCCTTGTGCCTTTTCCCAGCTGAACAAGGCAAACTTTGATTTTAAACCATTCAAACACTGCCTTGATTAATTTTTATTTCCTTTATGTTAAGCATCTCCTACACCTGTGGCATTTTTGGAATAATTACATTTCTGGTACTTTAACAAATAGTTGCAAATGAAAGGAGCGCGAGCTGAAGTCAGAGCAGATGGGCTGAATAAAATTATGGATTCGGGAAGAATACCAAGAGAAATAACCTCCTGTTTTAGGGCAGGGGAGAAGAGAAAGGACAAAGGAAATTAATAGTTCATTATCCTCAGGAAAAATTCCATGAACTCAGAAGTAGGTGGTGGGCTGGAGGCAGGGAGAGGAGGGAGAGGCAGAGAGGGGGAGGTTTAATGTGGCAGAGGGGCTCTGGAACCAGCCCAGCTGGGAGGAAAATGCCAAA